ATGATAAAAAGATGTCAAAAATTGGAACAAAATATATTTTAAAATTTAAAAACACATAAAAAGTCAATCTCAGAACGCCTATGATGTTAAAATAACTGATTGTTTAAACGATAAACTAACATCAATAAACAACACATTAGATTTTAAAATACATTTTACTTGTAGTGACTTAGTGGGTATGTCCTATGTTTTAATATTATTTTATTTGTGACGTCTAATTGTTAATACCCTCTCGACGTATCTCTGCCTTGCGTGGTGAGAGGGCTTGAGTGTTTTAATGACTCCTGGAGCTATGCCGGCGGTAGCGTAGCTACTGGTAGGGCCTCCCTTGCCGGACAGATCTGGATGAAAAACGAGACTAAGAGAGATACACCGGTCCTCCTAAGAGGGGGTTGTGCAGTAGGCCAGCAACCTACTCATGTAAAAATTGAAAGATACGCTAAAAAACCCTAGAATAGGCCTCCAATGTTAGATCAGATTTTTGGACAACGAAAATTGCAAAGAAAAAGGTACATGAATATTGGAACATGGAATGTTCAAGCTTCAGACATAAGCAACAAGAAGTGTTACTTGAAATCGAAGAAAGAAAGCTGGACGTAACAATATTCTCGGAAACCCAAAAAGAAGGGCAACGGATGTGAAAAGTTGAAAAGGTATATCCACTGCTACAGCGGGGTAGATAAGTCATCCCACGCAAAAGCAGGAGTATCGATAATTATTCACGAAAAACTGAAACAACCAATAAAGTCATGGGAGAGTATTAATGAACGTATAATCAAAATGACCCTTCAAATTAAAGGACGAACTATAGTGGTTATAGGAATTTTTGCTCCAAATGAAGACGAAACAGTAGCGGTAAAAGACAATTTTGACGCAATTTTAAGAGATGTGTTAGATCAAATCCCTAACCGATCCGAAATCATTATGGGCAGGTGACTTTAACAGTAGAGTAGGCCAAGAAGAAAACAGTGCAGTAGTAGGACGACATGGAGAACCTACAAGAAATAATAATGGCGAAAGACTGATAGATCTGTGCGAACAATACAATTTAAGAAGAATCACAAACACCTTCTATGCACACAAAGATATACACAAATATACCTGGAAACACCGCTCTAGAGACCAGAAATCCATCATCGACTATATTATAATGAGACAAAAATCAACACTAACAGTTTTAGATGTTAGGGTAAAGAGAGGAGCTGACTGTGGAAGTGATCATTACCTAGTATGTATTCGGAAATATGACCATACCGAGATTGGGAAAATACGAAACAGCAAATGTAAATAAGAACGTAACACTGGATAATTTGCGTCATATCGACACTTAAGTGTAACGAAGATTCGAATGATGGCTTCGACCGAATGTCCTAAAACTTTACGTTTTGAAAACTGTTTTGTTGAAAAATATTCATCGTAGAGATTGAGTAGCAGTCTTATTATTCTGAGAGCGGTCAAATTTTCCTTGATCTTTGAATAATTTTCCCTCTTGTACAGTACTTTACATTCCAAAAGTACATATTGCACCAATAACTGTGTGAATTCTTCACAGAAAGGGTAGATCTGTGTGTACCGAAAGAGATTTAGATTGTATTTGTGCACGTAGGAAATATAATTCCTTACAATATGAAGGTATTCCTTGGTCTCTTTAAGGACTTTTAGCCGTGATTTGATTTTCCTATAAACAATCAAACTGTTAGCTTGCTGATTTTACTTTGAGTAAAACAATACTCCTCCTGTTCTATGCAAGGTAGAATCGTCTTTGGAAGTTTTTCAAAAGGGAAGCAAAGAAGAACAAGAAGAATGAAGATGAGAAGAAAGAAACATTGAAGATGCTTTAAATATTAATTGGAACTTTTCGACATAATCATTAATTTAATTTTTTGTTTAAATTATCAATTTAAATCAGTTTAAATTCAATAGTTTATTAAACATCATGAAGAAAATGTACTGTTTGGTATAAAAAATATCAGTTTTTTGATCATTACCAGTTAATACTAATAAATATTGTCTCGATCAAATTTGAAAAACTTCCAAAGACGATTCTACCTTGCATAGAAACAGGAGGAGTATTGTTTTACTCAAAGTAAAATCCGCAAGCTAACAGTTTGATTGTTTATAGGAAAATCAAGTCACGGCGAAAAAGTCCTTAAAGAGACCAAGGAATACCTTCATATTGTAAGGAATTATATTTCCTACGTGCACAAATACAATCTAAATCTCTTTCGGTACACACAAGACCTACCCTTTCTGTGAAGAATTCACACAGTTATTGGTGCAATATGTACTTTTGGAATGTAAAGTACTGTACAAGAGGGAAAATTATCAAAGATCAAGGAAAATTTGACCGCTCTCAGAATAATAAGACTGCTACTCAACCTCTACGATGAATATTTTTCAACAAAACAGTTTTCAAAAAGTAAAGTTTTAAGAACGTAACAACAAATAAAGAGCACTATAATCTACAAAGTCTAGAAGATAACAGCGTGCAGTATTTATACCAAAGAAGGTTAGATGGAAAACTGGTAATAGAAAATAGAACAATAGAAGAAGAATACAAGCACATAGTACACAGTATTAAAGAAGCAGCAGAAGAGGCAATAGGCACTCAAAGACGCGCAAAACAAAAACCATATTGGTGGGATGAGGGAATAGATGAAATGATAAAGAAGAAAAAAGAAGAATACCTAACATATCTAGATAAAAAAAGACGACCCCTCTAAAGAAATATATAAAAACCTAAATAAACTGGTGAAGACGGAAGTAACAACAAAGAAAAATAGATCTTGGGAAAAGAAATGCGAATACATAGAACAAATGATTGGAGGATCGAAAAGTTCAGAAGCCTGGAGAACGCTAAAATCTATGAAAACGTCAACCAACAATAAATTAGATTTAAGTAACATAACAGAAAAAGACTGGGTAGACTACTATAAACAGTTACTACAAGAAGGACGACAAAATTTTCAATACGAAAATGCAAACAGAGACATACGATCAGAATTCATTGAATTGAACATGACAAATATCGTAGAAGCGATAAGATCTTTTAAACTTAAAAAAGCGCCAGGCCCAGGAAACATCTCACAAGAATTTATTAAATACGGCTCAGCTAAACTGTGGGAAATGCTCAAAGATCTGTTCCAACGATGCCTGAATGGAGAAGAGACCCCGTTAGAATGGCGTGAGGCCTATATAACCCCAATATACAAAAAAGGAGCACGAAACAATGTCAGAAACTATAGAGGAATTGCTGTCATCCCCACTATAGGACGACTGTACTCCCGAATCCTTAGAAACCTCATAGAGAAGACATTCGTTTGAAACAACCAGAAGAACAATGCGGATTCAGAGCTGGAAGATCGACTATAGATAATCTATTTACACTTAAAATATTAATCGAAAAGCGACAACAAAGAAACAAAGAAACACATATAGCCCTGATAGATCTTGAAAAGGCATATGATAACGTGCCGATAAATAATTTATGGAGTGAAATGCAAAACATGGAAATAAAACCTTCGTTAATAATAGCAACTCAAAAGTGGTATGTAAAACAACACCGCATCAATTAAAATAGGTGGCAAACTTAGTGAGAAATTCAACACTACGAAAGGGCTACGACAGGGATGTTATCACCTACGCTGTTTAAAATATATCTGGATCGATCTCTACAAAAGTGGCAAAGACAATGCAGAAATATGGAAATACAAATAGACGAGGATATTCTCTATACACTATTCTTCGCTGATGACCAACTGGTGGTAGCAGAAGATATAGACAATCTCAGCTATATGGTTAGGAAACTACAAACAGCGTACGAAGAATGTGGACTGACAATGAACTTACAAAAATGCGAATATCTCTCAGTGGGAAAAATACAGTCTAAGACCTGACATTGGAGAGTGACAAAATCAAAGGAACAAATAGAGTAAAATATCTAGGAGTAGTGTTTACAAAAGACGGAAATAGCCATGAAGAAATAAATACAAGAATAAACAAAGGCAGAAACATTACCAAATGCCTAAACTCCATTCTCTGGGATAAAAAAATCACAAGAACGACGAAAAAACGAATATATATAAGACGATGGTTGAGCCGGTGGTAACATATTGAGCAGAGATATGGGACACTAGTAAAAGAAACAGGAAAAAATTACAAGCTACCGAGATGGATTTTATGAGAAGAAGCTGTAGATTGACAAGGATGGACAGAATCCGCAATAAAGAAATAAAACGTAGAATGGAGCAAGAAAAAAAAAATTATAGATGAAGTCCAGAAAAAACAACTAACTTGGTTCGGTCACGTAAAACAGAATGGCAGACGAGAGGTGGCTAAAGAAAATATTAAAATGGATCCCAACCGAAAGAAGGAAAAGAGGGCGTCCAAGAAGAAGATAGCGAGATGACGTGAATGAAGCCATGGAAGGAAGACAGCTCAATGAAGCCGACACCCGAGATAGGAAACGATGGAAACTAGGGACAGGAAAACAACGACAGTTGTAAACAACCTGTACTATATATAATTGTTTATACCGAATCTTACATGCTTGGTACGTCAAAAAATTATTTTTTAAACCGTATTATGTCTGTCATAGAATGTTTTTTTTTAGTCAATATATATTCTTGAAAAATGCATGGATTTCCTACCGAAAACGTCGGAAAAAGATATATAAAAATGTCTTAGTATCAAACTAAATTTTTTTATGAACCTAAACCCAAGAGAATACCACTAAAAAATATATATTAAATATATATATATATATATATATATATATATATATATATATATATATATATATATATAAAACAACTTACGAACAACTAGTAATGTTTTTTTTAAATATTTTAAAATAATAAGGTCAAACATGCGAAGCATATAAACAACAAGAGGGACAAATACATGCTACATTGAAAAAAAGTATGAATTCGACAAATGTGCAATTTGAAAACAAACGATAGTGGTAACTGGTGCTTCCTTGACTGGAAGGACAGACTTACCTTTTACCATCGAAACGGGCATAATATAGCTGCCAGGGACTATCACTGCAGTGTTTGGCATTTTCAGAGCTTCTCCAACACTAGAATCGGCAATTATGAGGTTTCTGGATTGGTTATTGCAAGGCCCACTTTCGGCTATGATTAGAGGTCTAGAACTAGGTGGGCTTGCGTTATCAGTCGACTCTGTTGCAACAGATGCTGAGGCTTGTGACTGCTCGTCATCTGTTACCGACAACTGGACTACACCTCCTGAACTATCCTCACTGCCAATTGTTAAGTCATCACCGTCGAGATCTATAGTAGTCGTTGACTGTCCAGATTTTTTAACACCAGAACTCTTTTTTCGTTTTGAATTCTGGCTAGGATTTGTAGGTGGATTAGACCTTCTTCTTGGTGCGGGTTTATTATTTAGGTCAGGAGAATTTCGCAACTGTTCTGCGTATTCAGCTAATATATCAAAAATTCTTTGGGTTGTATGTTCGTCTTCTTGTGGCTTTTGCTGAGGTTTGGGAATTGGTGATGACTTTGCTGCTGCAGTGTTGTTATTGGGAGAGGTTTTTAATGTTTTTCCCTTTGAACTTTTAGTAACGATTTTTGGCATTGTAGGTGTAGAAGCAGGCGTCACACAAGGACTTGAACTTCCTTGGGAGGTAACACTTAAAGCAGGCGATGCAACAGGTTGTAGGTTATTGTAAGTCGTCACTACGACAACAGGGGATAGTTGTGTATATTTCTGTAACTGGTTGACATACGTCACACTTATTCGCTGTGGTGTAATTTCTTGACTTTCTCCTGAATTTGTACTGGTTTCAGAGGTACTAGGATTACTTCTCTCCTTAATCTGTTTGTAGACCATGTCGAATTCTCTTAACTGTTCTAACGTTGTTGAACTTAAATGTGGTTGTGGATTTGCTTTTACTACATTAGCAGGTAACTGTAGTTGTACTGGTTTTACAATTCTAGCACCTTGTACTAGAGTAGGTCTTCCGGTGACGCTTTTTACTTCCTCACAATTTACTTGAATTTCCCCATCAGCATTTTTAGGTCTTCCTTGCAAAGCTGCTGCCAGAAGTGCGCTCATTTTGGTATGTATAACACTATCTTTAACTAGACTTAACTGTTCATGACTTGAAGTAGCAATTCTGAACACTTGGCGAGTTGTAGTTCCAGGTGGTATTAAACTGATAGTTTGCCCTACAGGTACTTGTCGACTATAAATAACACTCCCTTGAATAGGTTGTACATTTACAGGTACAGTTTTTGTAGTAACAGTTGCTTTTTTAGTCTCAGCGGTGTTATTTGTATTTGAAGATTCTACTACAGTTGTTGGAGACTCTGCTGATTCAGTATTATTTTGATAAACTGTTTTGCCAAAAGCTTGCTGAAATTTAGGTAAAGACGATTTACAGATAAACTGCAGGATTGTTCCCCCTTGCCCAGAAGTTACAGTGTTTGGATTCTTTACAAGTGAGTTTGTAGTCTTTATTGCACTATTCAAAATTGTTGGTTCACTACCAGCATCTATCTTCGCCTATAAAAAATATTACATAAAGTTTAGTTTACATGTTCGACCTTAAATTAACATTTTAATACTAATAATAATTTTAATCTAAAACATATACTACATCTAAACAGGGAATTGTTCATGTGTCCTAGTCTTCATCGACCTCCATGTACTGGAATATAAAACGATATTGACATTAATTTTAATATTCATATATAACGATATTTACATTGGTTTGATTAGTATATATCCTCTTAGAATAGAAGCGGTTAGTTAATTTTAGACATTATACCAAAAGCCAGAGAATGTCGAGTATGCACTTTTATGTTTCGTCGGTACCTTGACGTTTTTTTATCTTTTTTAAGGCGTAGAATCGATTACGTGCGAACAACTAAATTGTAAATCTTTGTATCTTCTAAGCTATTAGAGATTTTTAATTTTACCTTAAAGTTTTAATTTACCTAATTAACCTCAAAGTTTGAAAAGGTAAACTGATAAAATTCCGTTTTGAGCATTTTTTAACAACATAAGGCAAGCTGATAATGATTTGTAATTTTTTCTGGAAAGACATACATATATACTTTAAATGAAAAAGTTTGAGCTTTGAGACTTTAGTCAATTTTTTCAAAAAAATCTCAAAAATTAATTTTTTTGAAAAATTTCAAAGTTTGAGCCCTTATATCTCTGATGGGCAAGCAAGTAAAAATTTGAAATTTGGCTGAATGTTAGTTACTAATGAGTAGAATAAGAGGAAAAATTTGAAGTTGTAGAATTAAGGCATATAGGAGTTACAGGCCTGAGAAAGTGGCAAAAATCATTAATATCTTCTCCAAATTAGGACAATTATTAATATCAGAAAGACGGTCACGCCTTAGTGTAAATAAAGTAGAAAAATGCCAATAGAGAACTTTAAATGTATGTATATAATATTGAATATACCAACATTATATTTAATATTGAATATACCAAATTTATGTTTACCTTAGGTCCTACTACATTGTTATTAGTATTATAGTTATAAGCAGGTATTTTTTCTTTATCATGACCAGTTTATGGCAATATTTTTTGTACTTACTGCTTTAATGTGTTTTTTCCTTATCGTAATTTAATATGACTAAGAAAATTAATAACTTGTTAAGGATTTTTACCGCTGCTATTTTCCCTCAACAACGTCGTTCCTTATGTTATAAATAGCAAATAATAACGATCATTATTATATGATAGCGACTGCTCCATTATTTTAATAATTCTCTATCGAAATTGCTTCACTTTCTGTCACTGTCACTTTCGCAAATACCATCCATGGACCAGCGTAACGTTTTGGATAGCGGACCAAATTGGTTACTAGTGGTCTGTGTGTGCAGCAGAATAAAACGTGACTAAACGTCACTACTACATTATTCCAGCTGAAGCAGACTGCGACTGTGACGGCGTTGTAACAGTGACAAAGTAGCAGTTCTTAAAATAGCAACCCACCACTAATTCTGACATACCACGTTAATACCTGCGATCAAGTTACAAAAATTCCTTATTTTAAAGGTAATTGTTTCAGTTTAAAAAAAATTTAAATTCAACATTAAAAATTTCACTAAAAAGCGAATTAATTTGTTTATAAGATATGTAAAAGCTGAGTTATACTTGGAACAGCCCTATCAATGCCTATTTTGGCAACGGATTTTTATTATAACTCCTATTCTAGCACTCGGATCTACCTAAGTTTACCACATGCCATTTTGTTTAATTTTTTAATAACAACTATTTTCATTATGGAAAAATTAAATATCTCCAATAGTTTAGGAGATACAATCATTTAAACAATTAAATTTTTAATAACAAATTATTTGACGGGTTTTCAGCCTGGTAACGTTGAAACATCGATTCTACGTACCAAAAAACATAAAGGAACCGAAGATTTATTATAGATTAATCATTCAAGTTAGCTAGTAGAAGCGTTAATTGAAATATTGGATATTTCCCACTATAATATTTCAATCAACGGTAGATGTTAGTAGAAGCATTAAATGTGTCGCCCAGTTCCATAATCAGTTAAATCCAAAATTTTAAAAAATGGACGTTGTGATTTCAATGAATTCTTTGTTAGTCTCCTTACATGTGTGTATCTTCAAACTGTTCCAAACTCAGTTACATTGCGTTGAAAATACCGGCTGAAAAGTTCGGACTGTTCCAAAAGCAGTTAAATGTATTCGGTGGTCGGTTTCAAAACCAGTTAAATCTGTCACAGTGTCAAAACAAGTTAAAAGAAATACTAAACCCACATGACCATGAGTTCGGTGCCACAGCCACTGTTAGTTAAACCACCGAAGAAAAACATTTTTTGTGAGAAATAGAAGCGCTTGTATTGTAGTATTGAGACAAACCTAAAAGCATAACACTATTTTTTTTTTTTCAAAACATTAAAATAAACCATAACAGGTGCTTTTACTGGACGATTCAGTTCTTAATATCATGGAGGGGCCAGCGGAAAATCCTGAAATCGTTGATAATGTTGAAGTAATAGCAGAGGCAACTGGTTCTTTGGCTAAAAAACGAAAAAGCAATCCTTCCACTTGGAAAAAAACCATTGAAAAAGTATCTAGGTAAGTTAATTGTAATTATTATAATAAAAATTTATACAGTGTTTCGTCAATATACCAACAACCTTCATTATTTTACAGTGACGTAGAAGTTATTGGGATAAAAACCCAAAATTTACTCTGTATCTGCGCCTCTGGAAATGATCAATTTAGAAAAAAATGCTTGTTTTATCAAGTAGTACTAGTATACAAACTTTCATCATATCTACAGTAGGTACTAAAATTTTAAGAGATATCGGCAAACAATACAAAAAAAGTATCTCAACAACGACACATTTTGAATGGTATGTTAACATAACCATTTTTAATGTTTTTTAGAGGTATAGTTTTATCCCCTGAAATTTATTGGCACATTTAGGAGACACCTTTTATAATCCGTTATTATTCGTCTTTACTTATACCTTCAGATTCAGGCTAATCTTTCCTGAACTCTCATAACGTCAACTACAGCGAAAGCGATTAGGTAACTGAAAGTGTAACAAATTTGTTTTTTTAGGCACCGTCCAAAGGGATTTTCTCAAATGCCAAACTGCAAACATCCAAGCAAAAGCAAGTATCGATGCTCAGAGCTTTCCTTGCAAGATGTAACAAAAATCCATCGCAGATATTACAAAGATGCGGACCTACAATCGAAGACACAATTTATTCTGCAACATGTTATGGTTTTTTCTGCAAAAAGAACCCGGATTCCAGAACGTACCTCAAAAAGAATGGTAAGCACTAGTTTCTACTTACCTAAGCAAAGACACAATAAAACAGAAAATATTAAAGTGTGTCGAGCGGCATTACTTGCAATACTCCAAGAAAGTCGAAACCGGGTGCAGTTACTTTGCCAAAAATTTCTTCAGACAGGTGTACTCCCATCTGAAACTCGTGGAGGAGCTCGCCACGTTGAAAAGTTTAACACAAAGAAAGAAAGCATCAAAACTTTTATTAAATCTTTTGTACCAGTGCAGAAACACTACTGTAGAGCAAAGAACAAACACAGACAATATCTTCCGAGTGAACTGAGCATTAAAAAAATGTGGTATATGTACAGTGAGCAACATCCAACTCCCAAATTAACATGCAAGTATGATTTCTTCAGAAACGTGTTTGCCACCAATTTTAATATCGGTTTGATGCCCCATACACTGATAAGTGTTCTACATGTATACGACTTGAATGCGAGACAGCAACCGAAAAGGATGGTGACAAACGAGCAGCTTTAAAATTGGAGTTGAAAGTCCATAAAGTTCGTGCTGAGAAATTTTATATGTTCTTACGAGAGAACAATGATAACGAGCTTGTGTTCAGCTATGACTGCCAAAAAACTTGATGTTGCCTAAAATACCTGATCAGGCTGCGTACTATAAGCGTCAGTTGTATCTTTATAACTTTGTTATATGTGAGGGGCACTCCAAAGCCACACGAAATTGCCACAACACATTCTCCTATCTTTGGACAGAAAACCAGTATCAAAAGGGATCCAATCAAATAGCATCTGCTTTGTACCATAGATTACAGAACTCGAACTTTGAAAATGTCACCACAGTCAAACTCTTTTCTGATGGTCGTGGGGGACAAAATAAAAACACCATTGTTGTTGGTATGCTTATCAGTTGGCTTATTAAGGATGCTCCTCGTAACGTGAATAAGGTGGTACTATACTTTCCTGTAGTCGGACATTCGTTCATCCCGCCAGACCGAGTCTTTGGAATTTTAGAACGACAGTTTCAAAATTTCAGTGTTATCAACAATCCAGACGAATACACTGATATCATTAAAAATACCTGTACTGTGATAAAGCTGGGTGCAGACTGCTCTATCAGTAACTGGAAAAGTGTCACAGAAGCTGTGGTAAAACCTCCAGGACAGTGGCATTTCCAATTTCAAAAAGCTAAAAAATTCATTTTCACACGATCTACAAGAAATCCAAACACAGCTTTGATCCAAGGAGAGGCCAACTACAACTTTGAAACGGGTGAGCCCAAGTCAGTTTTAAAAAGAGGAAAAGTTTTCGGAAATCAAGCTGTTCCGGAAATACCAGAAGGTGTGGCAGTTAAAGACGCGAAAATTAAAGATATAAAGTGTTTATTGGATCTCCATTATGGAACAGACTGGAAAAAACAACCAGAAGTTAAAGTTTTTTGAGGAAATGTTGCAACAACCAATCGATCCTGTAGATGACGAAGAAGATGATTTTGAACTGAATGCTGAGGACGAATCTATTGATTAAAAAAATAGACACCAAATACTATTAAAAAAATGTACGAATAAATCTTTTCAGTAAAAATTGCTTCATTATTGTAACAATCTAACTAAAGCAAAAATTTTGCCCTCACAACAATATAATTCTATGACATAATAGTTTCAAAAGTAGTTAAATCCTATTACTGTTCCAAAATCAGCTATAATAAATTTTTAATATTTTACAGTGCCTACATTTTTTCTTTAATTTTATACAATTTTTATTAGGAAAAAGCTTTATTTTTTAATTTTTTTTTTTTTTGATAACAACTTTATCACGTTCCCTATGACGGTAGGTACGCAATTAGTTATTGGCCTATTCCCACAAATTTTTTCAAGTGGATTT